TGCACCCAGGGGGGGGGGGGTGTGATGGTGAGGGTGTGTGTCTGCTCCCAGGGGTGGGGGTGAACGGGTGTTGGCGAGGAGGGTGTATCTGTGCCCAGGGATGGGGTGTCCGGGTGTGGGTGTTGGCGAGGAGGGTGTATCTGCGCCCAGGGATGGGGTGCATGTGTTGGCAGGGCGGCTGTTGGTGATGAGGGTGTGTTTGCAGGCAGGGATGGGGGCTGTAAGTGTGTGCGTGTTGATGAGGAGGGTGTATCTGCATCCAGGGGTGGGAAGGGTGTTGGCAGGGGGGTGTTGGTGAGGAGGGTGTATCTGCATGCAGGGATGCTGTGTGTGGTGATGGTGATGAGCAGGGTGTATTTGCAGGCAGGGATGGAGTGTGTGCATGCCTGTGCTGGTTAAGAAGGTGTATCTGCGCCTGGAGATGGGTTTGTGTGTTTGTGTGTTGGCTGAAGGGTGTGTTTTTCCACCCTGGGTTTGTGTGTGTGTGCTGATGTTGTGTGTGTGGTTTCAGGCATGCAAGGAGATGTGCTTGAGGGGTGTTGCACCCACAGATGGTGCAGGGGTGCGTGTGTGCATTGGTGGGGGTATGGCTTTGCCCCTGAGGGTGTGCATAAGTGGGTGATGGTGGGGACCGGTTGCACCCAGGATGGTGGGTGTGCAAGTGCGTCGGTGGTTCTGTGTGTGTGTGTAAGCAGGTGCTAAGCGTGTCTTTGGTGTTGGGGTGTGGGTGTACATGGGCCCGGGGGGTGGCAGTGGTGGGTGTGTAAGCGTGTGCATGCGTGTGTGTGCGCACACCGGGTGTGAGCAGGGAGCAGAGAGTGTGTATGTGCATGCGGGTGTTGCACAGGCTCCCACATCGTGGGTACTCGGTGGGGGAGCTGGCCAGGTGTGTGCAGGCTCAGGGGTGCGTGGGTCGTGGTGGGGATGGGGTGTGGGCGCTGCTGGGGCGGAATTGTGGCCGTGCAGGGGGCGTCCAGCTCTGGGTGTCCGTGTGTCCACAGAGAGCTGCCGGGGCTCCCACTGCCACAGTGGGGAAACTGAGGCAAGGGGCGTTGTGTCCCTGCCTGGCATGGATGGTGGTCCCAGCTGTGCACCCTGGGGTGTGTGCCTGTGGTTGTGCAGGATCCACAGCTGCAGGGAGGGTGCCGTGGGTGTTGTGTGGGTGTGCAGCTGTGGGTGGGTGGGTGCTCATGAGGACTCTGGGCTCAGGGTGTGCGGGTGTACGCCGGGCTGGGAGTGTGGCTGCATGTGGGTGTGCAGTCGTGCTGGGACGGATGTGCGGTTTGCGTGGGGCTGCGTGGGTGCGAGCGTGCGGCTGTGTAGCTATACGTTTGTTCGGGGGCTGCTGAGGAGAGCGTGCAGCTGTGGGTGGGTGGATGTGCATGGTGGATGCTGGGGGGGGTCTGCAGTCGTGCTCAGAGGTGTGCAGGAGCGGGAGGGTGGCTGTAGGGAACGCGTGGTTGTGCATGGGGGTGTGCTAGGATGGCCATGTGCCTGTGCAGGGTTGTGCGGTGGTGTGGCTGTCCCCAGGCCGGCTGTGTCCACTCACTCCGAGTGAGTGAGGACTCTGGGAGGATGTTCCCATGATGGCAAGGTGTTCCTGCGATGGGTGGCTGCCTGTACCCGAGCGCCTGTCTCCCTACACTGGGTGTTGGCTGCCTGGGGACCCCCAGGGTGATGCGGGCACCAGGCTCCCGCGGGCGCCTGCTGCTCCAGCATCACCCGACACCTCCGCATGGTGGCCTGCCGGATCCTCTGGCTGTTGGGCACGAGGAGGAGGAGGAGGAGGGTGGCACCCAGGAAGGAACAAGGGCCAGAAGTGACCCTGTTCCACAGGGCAGGTCCCGTTGCAGAGGTTCACCATGAGCTGGCTCTCCCCAGTGCCCGGGCTGTTGGGGGGCTCCAAATTTGGGTGGGGGACAGTGCCCGAGTGGTCAGGCGGTGGTTTAGCAACTGGTGGTGATGCACTCGGGCTGTAGCACACAGGTGGTTTGGCCGTAGCTGGGTCTCTGTGGGGCACCCATGGGTGATGGTGACTGGTGGGTGCTGGGACACCTCAGACAGGTTCTCCTGTAACCCTGGGTGTGTCAGTGTGTCCTTGGGGTGTGTGAGGATGGGGGCGAAGATGGGTGGGAGTTAGAGGATGGATGGGTGGATGTGTGGGTGCTGTGGGGGTGGAGGGATGAGTGCTATGGGGGTGGAAAGGTTGGTGGTAGGGAGATGGGGGATGAATGGACAGGTGTAAGGATGCTACAGGGATGGATGGGTGTTGGAGGTGGGTGTTGGGGGATGGATGGGTGAATTGATGGGTGAATCTTGGGGGAAATGAGTGTATAGGTAATTGTGTGGGTGTCAGGGAAGGGTGAATGGATGAATGGGTGTCAGGAGCGGGAGATGGCTGGGTGGTTGTTTGGGTGTTGGGGGATGGAGGGAGGGCTGTTGGGCAGCGGTGGGTGGCTGGGTGACTGTGTGGAAACAGGGGCACAGTGCAGGGGTGCTGTGGGGACAGACGGACAGGTGGGCGCCAGCCGACTGGACGCAGGGGGAGGTCTGGGTGCCCACGCCATCCACCTCCGCCACCGGAGGCGGTGCAGGGGGCCACGAGCGCCTTGGGGTGGGCGTAGGGCGATGCCAAGCATACCAAAACCCCCTTTCAGGGGGCGTCCATGGGCTGGGGCGGTTTCTCCCCTGTGTGGTGCGGCAGCCCTGGGGTAGGTTAGCCGGTCCCTGAGGCCTGACATTTATAAACATCAGCCGCTCCTGGAGAATCAATACAGTTTAATAACCGGCGAGCGGAGACGGGAGACACATCAAAATGACACTCTGCGGCTCCGTAAATGTTATTCTAAATCATACTCGCTGGGTTTATTACATTAAGCATACAGCAACGGGCATGGGAAATTTATTCCATCAAAGGCCATCGCGCTGGTAAATGGGACTGGTGGGTCGGTGGAGAGGGGGCAGCCCCCCCCCCAAAATGGGGTTCCCTCCTCCCGACCGCGGCAGGGATGTGGGGGACAGGGGGATGTTGGCTCTACGGGTCTTCGTGCTGTCACAGCCTCCTGGGTTTGGGGTGAGCTGGATCCTGCCCCAGTGCAGGGGCTGGGGTGGATATTTGGGGGACTGGTGACATGATGGGTGACACGAGGGCAGCTGGGTGGCCCCCTCATCCCTCTGTGCCAGTCCGTGGCTCCTGCGGACTCGATCCTCTCCCTGGACCGGGCTCTGTGCTGACATTTCTCCCTGCGTTTCCCTGGAGACGAGGCGGTTGCTGTGGAAACCTCCCTCCTCTTCTTCCTTAACCATCCTCTTCTTCACCCTTGGGGAGGGGGCGCCTGGCGCTGCCCCCACCCAGCCCCTACATTTGGGAGGACCCCCTCCATGGGTACACAGGGGGAACCCCAGGGTGGGAGCACGGACACACACACACGTGTGTGGGTGCGACAGCATCATGCGTGTGCACGGCTGTCCCTGGGCGTGCTCCAGCCGTGTGCGTGTGTGCGCACACCCGCCCCGTCATGCGTGACATCCTGCCGTTGCCGTGACGACCCCATCGAGCACATGGCTCAGGCTCCGCAGCGTCGCGGGGGATGCACGCTTGTTGCCGTGGAAACGGACATAATTGTAACATTTTTCGTCTAAAAGAGAGGAAAAAAGGAGAGGGAGAGAGAGGAGGAGAAATGGCTCCATGGGCCAGGGAAGTGTGCGCTGGCCTGGTGCGTCCTGCTGCACACGCGTGTCGCGCTTGTGAGTGCACGCGGTGGCGACGCACGAGAGGAGGCCAAAATTGGGTGAGAATCAGGAGAAGGAGCGGCTGGCTGGGCACTGCTGCCGCCTCTGCAGTCCCTTGCAGTCGAGGAAAGCGGGCAGGCAG